AAAAAAAGGAGCCTTTTGGGCTTAAATATACTTTACAAAGAATATCACTGCAAACAAAGAGCCTTTCATTTTAACCTTTGTGTGTGTGTGTGTGTGTGTGTTTATGAGAACATACTACAGGTATCCTGTGACATCATTCCAACATGTTCAGACAGGGCGCACGTGTTATTCCCTTAGAGTCCCAGACGTGTTGTTTCTAACACGTCTGTGACTGCCTCTCTTTTTCTTTCTCTTTCTCTCTATCCCTCACACACACACACACACACACACTTAGTTTATTTAGTTTATTTATTTATAAAAGATAATTCAGTTTATTAATAGAAGATAATTAATCCTCCAACAGCATAAACATAATAAACACCAGTCATTTTTTTTTCACTGAATTTAAAATGTTTTTTAATCAAGAATAAAAAAAGCTTAAAGTTTTATTTACTGAAGTTTTTTTTTTTGTTTGAGGCATGTTGTTTATTTTTATGGGAGAATGTTTTATTCATAAACCAGGACAAATTCAATTTAAAACGCGTTTTTAATGAGGCTGAATGATAACAATCATTAAAAATAAATAAAGTGAAAACCTGCAGTAGCTGATTAACGAGCTAACAACCATCTCACACACACACACGCACACACACACACACGATGTTTACACCTACACACACCTGCAGCAGTATGTGTGTGCAGCACCCACTGTCCTCATTAGCAGCTAATTAGCGAGGCGCTAACGAAGCGCAGCTCGCTGCCTTAATGACCTCACAGCTAACCATTAGCCACCTGATGAGCTCAGCGCTAACGTGGCCTAGCACAGCATGCTATGCTAATGACTCTACCATAAATCTCCTAATGAGCTCTGTGTGGGTGTAGCCTTTTGGTTAGCCACTAGCTGCTAACAGACACGGGGGTTTTTTCTGTGAGAAGGCGGAAGAAATCTAAAAAAAAATGTCTTCAAAGTTTCATCATGTGACGTTTCACTCACCGGCACACTTGGTCTTCGCTCGGAGAGGTGGACCGGGGCTGCCCGTGCCCCCCTCCAGGGGCCTGGTGAGCAGGACGCTGATCTCGTACTCAGTGTCGGGGTCGAGGTGGCCGATCTTGTGAGTAGGTTTGTCCACAGGTGTGGTGTCTATCAACATGCCCAAGGTGGTGCGATACTCCACCTGATTGACACCACGACCAGAGCCAAATGTTCTTAATCAATAAACCATTTTATGATTGATCAGAAATCAGCATTATTACGTCAGAAACCATCAATGTTGAAAACAAAAAAACTGGTCAATGCATAAAAGTTAAATAATAAACTTTCGATATACCAATTAATCAATAATCTAATCAATAATCTATCAATGCACTAATTTGAATCCAGTAAGAACACGATGAAATGTATAAATTCATACAGTGTATTTGCCTCATTGCCTACAATGAGTCCTACAGACAACATTGATGATGTCACTGACGAGCTGATCAGCATCAAACCTCTCTCTCTATGATTGGTCCGTCTCCGTTGATGGAGTTGGCGTTAAGTTGAATCCAGAGGTAGGTGGCACCAACCGCTGTCAGCTGAGGGGGGGCGATGGGGACGGGGGGTTCTGAGGAAGGAGTTAACACATTAATTAATATCTGTGACCTTCAGCGAATCAAGACAGTCCTGGATGTTATTACCCAGCGTCCTCTGCGGCGCTGCTCCAGTTCATCCTGACCCACTTCACACCACACACGCAGACAGACACACTTGTGTGTTACTCACGTTTGACCGTCAGCTCAGCGTAGGAGGACACGCCCACGCCTCTCTCTGATTGGCTGATGCAGCGGTAGCGTCCGGTGTCTCCTCGACTTGTGTTTGTCACGTCGAAACTTGCAACGTAACGTCGGGAGTTCACTGGTTTGGTTTCTCTGACCGCTGCCTGACGACCAGACATGCCCTGAAACAGCAATCACAGTGATCAATATTTATTCCTATCAATCAATGGTGATCAATTATTAGTGCTAATCAATAACTGTTGATATAGTCATCAATATCCCGATGTATGATTAGAAAAGAATCATGTGCAAAGAAGAACCCTAATTAATATATATGTGTTGAGTCTGATCAATGCCAGTATTGATCAGATATCAATACCAGTATTGATCAGACTATAATAACAATATTGATCAGTCTACTGATTGCAGTATTGATGACTAAAATCATCACATTAAATATTGATCAGTCTACTGATTGCAGTAATGATGACTAAAATCATCAATTATTGACGACAGAAATCCAGAGAGCAGTGAAAACAATTCTGATCAGTGTATTGATCTCAGTATTGAGTGTTAATGATAGTATTGATCAGACTATTGACAACATTATTGATGAAACAGAGTTGGAATTGTTGATTGATTAGTACTAATAGTGTACTAATAGTAGTATTTCTTATTGATTATTGATGACCCTGATCAGTGTATTGGGTGAAACAGTGCACATGACGTTTCTGATCAGTTTATTGATCAGAGAATTAAAGATAATAGTAATCAGATATTTGGTTTTGACATAATTAATAACAGAATAGGTCAAAGTACTGATGAGTGGATTCAAAAGATTATTGATGACTAATCAATCTGAATATTGATTTGTGTATTTCTGGGCACAGACCTGCAGGTAGAGCAGCACGTTACTTTGCGGTCGTCCGTTGACAGTGCAGTGAAATGTCGCCGTCTGACCTGCGTTTACCTCCACACCTTTGATGTGCAAGAAGTGAGGTGTGCTCACTGAGGAAATACACACACACACACACACAGATCAGCAATCACACACTGGTGACCTCACCATCACAACAACAGCTTTTTTTTTGTCCCGTCTTTTGGGACTGCCAGAAACAACAGCGTCATCGATCTATTCAGAAACAGGATCCAAGTGTGTGTGTGTGTGTGTGTGTGTGTGTGTGTGTGTGTGTGTGTTTTATGTTCATGAAAACATCCAAAATGAAAAAGTAAATAAAGAGACAGATGGAACAAAGTCCATGCTAATCAATTTATGTTTTAATGAGCCTCTCTGATTACACACACACACACACACACACACACACACACCAATAACTGCACCAACAGTGACCTTGATTCTGCGATGGGAGTTCAACTCTAAACATAATTATCTAATAAAGCCAAACCTTGTTAGCCAATTAGGAGTGCTCTTTTACAAGTGGGCGGGGCTTTGAGTATAAAAACTACATCTGTATATGTGTGTGTGTGTGTGTGTGTGTGTGTACTTACTGCACTGGTGTCCCTGCAGGGTAATATCCCTGATGGCCAGAACTCCTCTGTGACCTGTGCTGACCGCTTCAAACACCACCTGAAAAAAAACCAGAACTTTTAGGTAAAGTTTTTGAAACAGATACGAAGAGTTTATTTCTGTGTAAACAAAAGAAAATACAATGTAAAAGCCCCTGAATGTGTGAGCCCTGAAATGCAGCGCCCCCTAGAGGGACTTAGAGGTATTATTTGTTGGGGGGTTCCAACAAATAATAATGAACAGCTGCAACAGTAACGGACAATCACCGACACGGTGACGTGTACAGAACAGGGATGAAGCGTTGAATCACGTTCCTACACCCCGGCTTTGACTCCGCCCCCTCGTTCGTGACGTCACTACTCTGTGTTCACATTCCAGCCTTATCGCCACGGATGCCGGTGGTACACGTTTCCTGTTGGGGACCTGACACAGGAAGTTTCACCTCTGTGACTCGGCCTCAGCCCTTTCCTCCTATTCTTCTTCCCAACTTCCTGTTCTACTGATCTAATTCTACACTCATGCCACCAGGTGGTGTGCATTTTTTTGTTTTTTTCCCCTATAAAACCGTGTGAAAAAAGTAGCGGCTTATAATCCGGAAATGACGGTGATTTTGGTTAGATTTGGTTCTTGGACTTCGTGTTTGATGCTGTACCTGGTAAAAGTTGGGCCAGAACGTGGAGACGGCTAGCTCCACCCCCTTCCACGCGTGGTAGGCGGGGCCTGACGAGTTGAAGACAGGAACTCCCAGAGGACTGTTGTTCTCTACAACAACATTGACAAACATCATGAGGTGTACTACTGCGGTGTGGTCAGTACTGCAGTAGTAGTATTTGCTTCGCTCGTACCTTTAATGTAGATGTTTAGCGTAGTGGGCGCGGCCTCTCGACCTCCTCCCTGATAAAACAGGAAGTTGAGACAGTGTGTGTCATTTTCTTTGAGGGGGGGCAGCAGCAGCTGAGCCCGCTGACCGCTGTGACGACCAGAGGTGTTCACAAACAGGAAGGAGGAACCTGTGGACAGGAAGTGACATTGTCATCATTAAATAAAAAGTCAAAGTTATGGTTTGAACTTGAACTTCACATATTGGTAGTTTGCCTTTCAAAATAAGATCCAAAACATATCCTGAGATATCAAAATAAAAGTGTGTTAGCTGAACCAAAATAAAATAAAAACAAGACACTTTCCAAATCAAATCTAGACGTATCCAGGGTTCTGTAATATTTGGCTGTATAACTGACTGGGCTCTGGTAGACGTATCCAGGGTTCTGTAATATTTAATAATAACACTGGGCTCTGAGTGTTTTCACAAACTGAGTTGTAAAAAAAAAACCCTCTTTCCTCTTCTCGCCTCCTTGAACCCCTCGGGCTTTAGAAGGCGTACAGTTTTTAACCCTTGCATTTGAACTTTAACCTTGAGTTCAAAGGGATATGCAAAAAAATGAAAAAAATGACAGCACTGGTGTGTGAGTGTGTGTGTGTGAGTGTGTGTGAACAAATCTGTCACTTTGTCGACAGTAAAAATCTATAATTGGGAGACTTGAGGATAAAAGTTTGACGCTCAGCTGTAAGCTTTGAAATTCAAGCCTGAGCCGCTCCGTGTGTGTGTGTGCGTGTGAATGTGTGTTTGTGAGTGTAAGAGCGCGCACGTGTGTGTGTGAGCGGGCTAATTAGAGTCAGTCTGTGTCTCTGTGTTGTGACTACAGCTGTCAATCATCCATGCTCTTATTCTGTAAAGTTTCTATGAAATTAAAATTAGTGTGTCTGCGTGTGTGTGTTTTTGAAGGGCGTTGCCATGGTAACAGCAGCAGTAACACTGAAGTGCTGTCAGTCAAACCGACTGAATCCTTTCGCGTACGGTTCTCTCTCTCTCTCTCTCTCTGACTGTGAGTCTAGCTCGATCCCCCACTCTCTCTTTTATGATCAGAATTAAAGTTAGACTTAACTTTTTCACCTCACACTGTTTCAAAGCACAGCGCAGCTTCACCGCCGCTGCTTCACCGCCGCAGCTTCACCGCCGCTGCCTCACCACCTCCGCTTACTTTTTCCGTTTTTCGGTTATTTCTACTACATTACTATTAATTATCGAAGTCATAAAACACAAGTCATTTAATAAACGGCATTGACCTCAACCACGATTCAAAGGTCTCAGTGCAGGAAACCATTTAGAAATCAGGTCATTGTAATGTTTTTTTTGTTTTGAAAATGATATCACGTTAAGCTGCCTCAACATGGACAAAATATATTAAACCTGTGCCAGTATTTTGAAAATGTAAATATGTAAACATTTTCCAAAATTATTAAAGGTAAAAATAGCTTTGCTTCTGGTATTGTTCAACAAGGAAATAGAAAGCTAGCTTGGCAGTGATCCAGTATGACCACCAGGGGTGCTGTTGCACAATCACAAAAACTGTAGTTATTCTTCCTCTTCCTCTTCCTCTTCTTGTTATTATTATTATTTTGGTGGATGTTTTCGTCCTCATAAGAAGCATAAAATAGAGGTAAAAATAAAGATAGCATTATTTTTTAGAAAACCTCAGACAAACGTGTAATTAGGAAAGTTCATTCTCTGATCAATAGCCATGTAAATACTGTGCAGGTTTTTATCGATCCCGGCTGTGATTTGATTTGACTCATCAATCGATCGTCAGAAAAGGTTTAATTCATTTCTTACCGAGACAGTGAAACAAACACGGCTTTAAGTGTCGATCAATAACTTCATTGATAATGAACTGTCGTGATTTGACACGCGTGACATTTAGATTCACATCATGAACAAACGCACCAGGATTTAAAAATCCAGTCTCATGTCCCGAACGATCAATGCAATCAAAGCGCAAACAGTGTGTGTGTGTGTGTGTTTTTGCGTGTGTGTGTGTGCATTCAGATCAATGGTCCTTGAGGAGAATCGATTAGAAAAACAAGAGTTTTAATCACCGCAGAGAAAAGGAGGAAGAAGAGACGGGATGAAGGACAGGAAGACGAGGGGAGGCTGGGTGGACGGGGACAATATTCACTGATTAATAGAACGACAGAGAGAGAACGACGGAGAGAGAGCGAGGGGGCGGGGGGGCACTTCTTCATTCATGATAACATAAAAACCCTGATCATTTCTTTGGCCTTTTCATCTGCCTCATGTTTCTGATCACTTTTCCTCCAGTTCATGTGAAATCATCAGGAAATTATGACAAGTTTCATCATTTTTTCTCCTCTGTCTGCGGTTTTTCTTTCCCTCTCAGGTCAAACAGTCACATTTCCGAGGATTGTCTGAACTTGTTTGGTAATGTCCCACTGTGTGTGTGTGTGTGTGTGTGTGTGTGTGTGTGTCAGCATTCTCCCTAGCAACTGAGGAATGTACCGAACAAACGTCTGTGTCTGTTTAGGACTATATTTAAACACCACAGATTTATGTAATCACTTTCAACATAAATGTTGCTAAGTTATATCTGGATGATCTAGATCTAGATCTAGATCAGTGATTCTCAAACATCTTACACCGCGTACTTGCCAAAATAAAACACAGCCGTACAGGTCTACCCTGTTCAGCCAGACACAGTGTATGAAGACGATAATTCACTCCTATTCCTGGTTTATTTACCAGCCAAAAACACACAGTATGGTAGAACTTGAACTCAGTAAAACTTGAGTAACACCGGGTAAAACCAAAACTCCAACCATTGTCAACAAGTTAATTAGTTCAGATTAAACTGTACCATCAACCTAATCCCTAATCTGGGGTCGGTCATTTCATTTCAAAGGCGACCGTGCTGACCATATTTGCCACCGTGTGGGCAACAATGATACATGGATTTCAGTCCATCTGGAACAAGAGACTCTTCTCTTTTTTTTTTTTTTGGACAGAGTTTACTGGACATTTACCAGTGGAAAATCAAACCCAGTTGACATTAATGCAACTCACAGAGAGAAAGAAATATCCACGAAGGTGATTAACATCAGCCCTTCTGCCATGACTCTCTAATATCTTTCCTAAATCTTGGACTATTTTTTGAGATGAGTTGAGGCTAAATCTATGTGTAAAGGTTTAAAATGTGCAGGGTTATTTATCAAGTTACAGGTCACTCATCCTACTGCCTCAGTGCTGTGATCCAACGTTAGCCAAGACATGTCTGTCTTGAGGTGAAATTCTTCCATCTATTTTTATCTTCACTTTCGCCTCAGTGCCACAAACTGACCACAGTGAACCAGCAGTTGCCGTGAACCCCTGAGCTAAAATCACTAATTTTCTCGGGGTGCTTTACAACCTTCACTTTCATGCTAGAAAATATCACCAAGTTCAGCATAGTGAGATGAAATAAGAGGAAATGTTGCAGGACATTATGGATCTGATCTGACGCAGATCAAGACTCTGTTGTTTGTGTCGCAGTGAAATAATCTTTAGCCTAAACATCAGGTAACAGCGACGTGTCACCTCATCTGCCTGTTTGACTTTCCAACTCAAACAAAGTGTGTTTGATTCTTTGTTGTGTCGTGTTTGGGGACAACATTTGAGCTTGTTAGGAAGAAAAACCAGTTTCCACCTGTTTCATCAGTTGATTCATCGCTGACACTTCCTGTCTCTGAGTTTTGTTAATTATAAAAACAATCCATCACATGGACCAAAATGACAGAGACGGGGAAAAAAAAAGCCGACACACACACACACTGAGCCAGATAAACACACACACAAACAAACAAACAAACAAACACACACACACCACACGTACACAAACAAAACTTGGTCGTGTTTCAGCCTCACTCTTTCTTGTTAACCTCCCGCCCTGCCTCACCTGTCGGCCAATCACTAACCGCCCCTGCCATCTGTAAACCAATCACATCAGCTGCAGATCACACACACACACACACAAACACACAGATGGAAGGGGTAATTCTATTACCACGGCTACACTGAGACGTGAGGAGAGGCAGCTGCAGCGCATTTAAACACACACACACACACACGTAAACAAATACACACACACACACACACAGTGACGGGGCGTTAAAATGTCTGAAAACATATCACGTATAAAGGACTTCAGTAACACGAGATGGAAAGACAATACGACAAGAATGAGATTAAAAGACAGGTTTGTGCTAAGTTAATTTTCAACCTCATTTCCTTAAGTTTTCTACCTGACGATCACACACTGGAGTACGATTAAAGTCACAGCCAATACAGTACAATCACTGTTTTTTCTAAAGGTATTTTTGCTGCTAGTTGTTTCCATTCATCTGCATTAACAGTACTCCATGTTTCCATGCTGTTTTCTGGTTCTCCTTCAAAGCTAAGTTAACTATATGCCACTATTCATTTATTTCATTTACATTTTTTTGTTAAGCTAGGCTAACAGTACACCCCAGGTATAAGCGTTTCAACTACAGGCTATTCAACTGTGCTAACCAGGCCTGTGAATTTCCCCATTGGGCTAAAGGTTTGTCAGAATAATAGGGTACACATCTTTTTTTTTTTCTGCTTCTCTGTAGAGGCCACCAGCATCTTCCTCCTGCGCCTGGTGTCCAGACTAGGCTAACAGTTTCAGTGTTTCTACTAAGCTATCCTAAAAGCTTCCATCTGCTCCTGGGGCTTCTGTTCAGATGTGCCAACAGCCTCCCTCTACTTCCACTGGCTAGAAGAACGAGAAACCAGATCCAGTGCCAGTCTCCACACACACACACCATTATCTGAGCTGGAACCAACGTGTCGTTCCACTGTTGGCCAGTAGAGAGCCTGCAGCACTGTGACCTCTGCTCTGATTGGCTCTGTTTGTGTCTGTGTAGTCCCATATAATGCGGATACAGGATAGACAAACACACACACACACACAACGTCTGAAACTTCACACCCCGTGTCTGTCACTCTTGTTCACCATCCCTCACTTCTACACAGTGTTTACCGGAGTTTGTGTGTGTGTGTGTTTTATGGAATTTTTTTTTTTTTTTTGGAAAGTGATTTTGACCTCCAGGTCTCTTTGACACACAAAGCATTGTCAAAATGCACAACAGACACTCTGCCTGTGTGTGTATCACTGTGTCTGTTTGTGTTTATTTGCGAGCGTGTGTGTGCACAGGCGTGTGTGTGTGTGTGTTTGCCTTCAAGCTTTACTCTGCGAGTGTGTGTGTGTGTGTCTGTGTTTACTGTGTGCAGCTGGCACTGAGCTGATAACAGTCCTATTAGAAATATTAATACACCCTGAACCCACAGAGACACACATACACTCACAGCACAGATGCCTTTGGTGAGCAAGTGTGTGTGTGTTTATGTGTGTGTGTTCCCTCTGGTTATCCCTGATTGGAGCAAATCAATTAAAAGCCTGAGACCGAAGCGTTTCATTGGCTAACAGCTGTGACCAACAGACGGCAGCGTTCTGTTCGCCGCAGGAATAAATTTAGACTGAAAACATGAAACAACAAAAGAACCGAGGCAGAAGCAGAACTTGCCAGAAGTACAGAACCAGGTCTGTAACAGAAAACGTCCGTGCTAAAGGTTCATCCGTGCAGCTAAACCATGCTACGAGAACCATGGACTATTTAATAATATAAACCTCAAATTAAAATTTGAACAGTGAGTTTCTATTCTTAGCTGTGCTGACAGGTTATTTCCCATGATCCATAATGTGTACATTATGTTTAAATACATTAAAACACCAATAACATCCAAACCATTAATACAAAATAAAAAGCTCACATTTACTATAAAAAACTATGATATTAAAAACAAAAAATAGCTGCAATAAAAGTGCAAAACATAAATAAAAACCTCGAAATGCATACATTTAGCCCAGCTTAGCAAAAACCAAGGAGAATGGAGGAGAAATGCTAGCTTAGCGACGCACTATTTTCTTTCCTTAGCAAACAAACTGGACTCAGAGATTCACCATTGGCTTTGCTATATAATGTTAGCCTAGCTAGTCAAAAATCACCAGAGGAGAACTGTTCAGTTGGTTTAGCAATATCTGCTAAGTTTGGAACAAAAACTGGAATCAGTTGTAAACTGTTAGCCTCACTTAGCAACAGTACATTTGGGTCCAAAGTGGGCAGTTAGCTAAATAAACAAAGGCTGAAGCCAGAAGAGCATTTCTTGTTTATATGAAGACTAACATTATAAGGAAACTGTTAGCCTAGCATAGCACAGAGACTGAAGCCAGGAGAGCATATGTTTATATGAAGACTAACAGACTGTTAGCTTACCTTAGCACAAACTGTTCTGTGTTCTTGAAGAGTCACTCAATGCTGGTTTGCTGTTTATTATGTCACACACACACACACACATTTTTAACTAAAGTTTAAATATTTAAAACAGAGCAAAGGAAGCTCAGGCAGTGAATTTTACATTTACTTGCTTCTCTGGTTTTCTATGAAAAATTCACCAACCTGTCATCAGTCACTGAAACAATCAAAGAAGAAAAAGTTTCACTGCAGAGAACTGAGAGAGCTGAGCTGCTGCGGCTGCTGCAGTGACCAGTGATGACCAGTCCCAGCCGTGTGTGTGTGTGTGTGTGTGTGTGTGTGAGTGCTACTGCTACAGTTCAGATTAGATTGAACTTGTACCATTTATAAGAACATTAAATGGAGCCTGCAATCACTGGTCAATCAATACCTCACTACCTCCTCGCTCCGTGTATGTGTGTGTGCGTGTGTGTGTGTGTGTGTGTTGGCCGACATGCTGCGGCCCTGCAGTGAGGACACATGCAGAAATCCCATTTTCGACATGACACACACAGAGCAGCTCTGGCCATTTGATTTCTGTGACTTTTATCATTGGAGTTTTGAAGTCTCCCACACCAACGTCCACAGAGGACATTAATGATCTGACGTCCCAGCCCGGAGGAGCCGCCGATCTACTGCTGCCTCCATCAGAAGTCAACAAATCTCATTTATGTTTTTGTGACTGACTATCGTGTGAAATTTCTCTCGCGCCGAAACCACAACAAAAAAACCCACACCCCACGGGGGCCCCTGCCCCCCCGACCCTGTGAGCTTAAATGACTGATTTAGTCTTTGGACTAGTGGTGTGGTAGAGTAAGTGATTTTTAGACTTGAGTTTCCCGTTCAGCTAAACTGTTTACCAGTCAGATGAAGCAGTAGTCGACATATTTCTGCAGGTGTTACAGAGCTAATCTAGTGTAGATTTGATGAGCTGGGGCTACTGTTAAGTAGCTAGAATCTATCTTGTGGTCTGGGAATCGATGGCTCTCTCTCTCTCTCTCTCTCACTCGCCCAGTGGAGGTTAGTTAGATTTAATGCGATGGCTCTGTGTGTGTGTGTGTGTGTGACTAACTGCAGCCAATCCAGGCAATCACAGGGCAAACAGCCTCTGTCCCCGCAGACACACACACATACAGAACAACCCTCCCGTGTTTCCTTCTCTCCTCTCTCACTTCCTTTTTCCTAATTTACTACAAGTTTTCTTCTTGCCTCCTTCCCTTCACTTGTCCCCTTGTTTCCTCTCCTCTTGTTTCAGACTCATTCTCATGTGTGAGACATGTCTTTTTGTTGGCCTTCTCAGTCCTTTCTTTTCTCAATTCCTCATCGCTCTTTCCATTTTTGTCCCGTTTCCTCTACATTTGGACTTTTGTTTTTCTCCTGTCGCTCACTTCCTGTCTTGTTTCCTGACTCATTTTTTCATTTCCTATCGTGGTTCTTCTCCAACCTTTCCTTGTCTTCCCCTCACTTTTTGTATCCTCCACATCACTCTCTTCTCTCTTCTCACTTCCTCACTCTTATTCCTGTTGAACGTGTCATTGGCTAACACCTCTTCTTGTGCTTTTGCAATTTCTTCCATTTCTATAGCATTTCATTTCCCACTTCTTCACCTTTTTCTGTGTCCTTTCTCACTTCCTCCTCCCTCAGCTTACCTTTCTGCTGCAGTTTCAGCCAATCTTCTGTCCATTTTGTCTCTTTTTGTCTCTCGTTTCCTTTCTCATTTTGCTTGAATCTCTTGAATCTCTTATTGTTTTCTTATTGTCTCAATCCTCCTTTCCTTCCTCACCTCCTCACTCCTCTTCTTTTCTATTCCCTCCTTTCCTTCCTCACCTCCTCACTCCTCTTCTTTTCTATTCCCTCCTTTCCTTCCTCACCTCCTCACTCCTCTTCTTTTCTATTCCCTCCTTTCCTTCCTCACCTCCTCACTCCTCTTCTTTTCTTTTCCCTCCTTTCATTCCTCACCTCCTCACTCCTCTTCTTTTCTATTCCCTCCTTTCCTTCCTCACCTTCTCCCTCCTCTTCTTTTCTTTTCCCTCCTTTCCTTCCTCACCTTCTCCCTCCTCTTCTTTTCTTTTCCCTCCTTTCATTCCTCACCTCCTCACTCCTCTTCTTTTCTATTCCCTCCTTTCCTTCCTCACCTCCTCACTCCTCTTCTTTTCTTTTCCCTCCTTTCCTCCTCCACCTTTAGCTCTCCTGTTCATAACACCTTTCATCCTTTGCTACTTTACAGTTTTATTTTGGCCCCACTCTTGTTTCCTGTCTTGTTTCCTCTCCGTTTCCCTCCCTCCCTCCCCCCCATTCCTCCCCTTCCTCCCCCTGGTATAAATCACATTAACCAGGACAGTAACCACCTCCTCTCTGTGTGTCCTCGCTCAGCCTGTCTCTCACGTGATTGGCTCTGTGATTTAAGAGCGCTGCATTGTCATTCGTCAGCGGCGTAACTTGCTCGCTCGCACACACACACACAGACACACACACACTGGTGTATAAGTCAGACTGTGGCAGGTCAATAGCAGATAACAGCTGCAGCCTCTACTCTCCCTTGTGATGCCTTCAGGTACAAAAGAGAGGAACTGAGCCGCTGTGTTCAGGGACTCATTCGATTAAAAGACATTAAACACTGGACTGAAGTTCAACGTGATGCAGGAATGTTGTCTGTGCTGCTACAGTGACTACAAACAAACAAAGAGAGAGAGAGAGAGAGAGAGAGAGAGCGGCTCAGAGTGAAGCGGAGACTGAACGCCGCTCTGAAGGAGCAGTGTTTGGGTTGAAGTCAAGCAGAACCAGACGCTGCAGCTCGACTTATTCTTGTCGTCTCCATCTTAGAAAAACCTCCTCACGCCCCGAGGCCTTCAGACTGACTTTGTCTCCGAGAATCAGATGAAATCGAGTCAATTTAATTTGTTTAGTCCAAATTCATTAACGGGTTTGCCTGAATGGGCTTTATAAAGAAAACAGAGGAAAGTATACATACGGTAGTCAGTGTTACACTGAAATGATGGAGAGGTAATTGGATTTACAATTATTATAGAAAACCAAATTAGATCACACTCTGAGCTGAACTGGGGAAAGAGAACTCATCATTCTTCTCATTTCTCAACCTGCGTCACTGAAAAGAACCCCAAAAAAATGTCAATCCTCCGACTTTACCCTCAGTTTTGTTACATTTCTTTTTCCAGGGTAATATTTAACAACACCTTTTTTAACCTGAGAAACAACAGAAAAAACAATTACCTGCAGGGACCCAGGAATAAAGCGCCGGCCTCTCTCTCGTGTCTCCCTGCTCCCAGTCGAAGTCGTCCTCTTTGGACTGAACCAGAGAACATTCTGGAGACGTGCCGGACAGACATGCTGAAAGACAAACAAACAAAGAAATGCAAAGAAAAGTCAACACAGAATAATTGTTTCATTTACAAGTCAGAGTGCAAAACAACAGCGTAGCTGAATTGATTAGCCACCAGGGGGCATATTCACTGATTTGACTCATTAAAAATTGTGACGATTTCCTGAGAATCTTATTGTCCTAATAGGCAGACGAAAGACGTCTTCGAATGAAAATGATGTGAAGTTTAAAAAAAATACTGATCTTGTTTAGAGGAAAATTAATGATAAATAAAGGCAGAAAAAATTGTGGAGATCATGTGACTGGTAGAAACCAGGTGACATTTGAACTGGAGACTTGAGGGGCGGTCTGAGACACGCTGGACAAAAGAGAACGATATAGGAGTTTGTTTTAAAACCACAAAGACTTTTTATACAGGCTGCGGGAGACGGACACACACACACACACACACACACACACACACACACACAGAGAGAGAGATAATAGATGTAATCCCTCTTCCATGACTCAAAGACATTTAAATCCCTTCATTCATAGCCTCTGTGTGTGTGTGTGTGTGTGTGTGTGTGTGTAGCTGTCATCTGAAAGCGCTGACATTAAATAGCTGGAAGGCTCATTTTCTCTCCTTGTAACAGAAGGCACATTAAACACACACACACACCAACACACACACACACACACACACACACCCTTGTGTCCCGCTGGGCAGTGTTAGCTCATCAACAGATACGAGACACAATCTGTTTAATCTGCTTCTATGAATTTGCATCTATATAACAAACTAAGCACACACACACACACACACACACACACACGCTGAGTTGATGCCAAACTAATTTCGAGTCTTCACTGGTCAGTACGGGAGCACGGCTAACAAGCTACACAGATGTTGATATTCATGGGTTTTACCATCACTGGATGCTAACGCCGACCGCTAACGTGTTTCCCCTGTTTCTTCCGGAACATCCATCCATCCGTCCATCCATTTTCATCTGCTTATCCGTTACCGGGTCACGGGGGCAGCAGTCTCCACCCAAATCACACTGCACCGTACCAACCCCCCCTGAACCTTCCTGCGGGTGGTGAGTCCACTGGAAGGTACCAACCACCCTCACCGGGATTCGAACTTGCCCAGGAGATGAACCCTGGGGTTCCACCCCAACGACAGAGACATGGCCTCTGGACCAAAGAGCCACTCTTCCAGAACATGTTAAAAATAATAATAATAAAAAAAAAAAAGGTCGTTTGATTGGTCTGTTAACAAACCGATTGTTTAAACATTCAAACTAACAACATAGCATTGTAGCACAGATGCTAACAGGCGTTATACACGTTAGCATTTTTAAAAATGTAAACGTGTTCTCTGCTAACCTTTAGCCTTCTTGGTAGCTTTGATCATGTTTTCGCTTTCTCGCTACGAACGCTTCATTAATCACCACTAGTTATAGTTTGTGACCTTTAACCTTCTTTTCACCGACATCCACCAAAGGTCCACAGAACTACTGTACTCCATGGAGGTACTGCAGTAATCCTACAGAGACTACAGTTTGACTGACGCTTCATTCACTTCATTCACTCGACCATCAAAGAGACAAGTGGAGAGAGTGTGTATGGTGTGTGTGTGTATGTGTGTGTGTGTTGGAGGGGTCGTCAGAGGGACCAGGTTGTCGTTCAAGGCGCTCTGCGTCTGGACCTGCCTCAACAGGAAATGAGAAATACACACGTACACGCAC